AAAAATTTAAAGCTACTTAATAAAAATATATATACCGTTTAATTTCTTAAGTGTTATGCATACAAATAAAAAACAAAAAATAAATTGGTTTAGGCGACAAAATGTTTGGATTACACCATGCAAAGATTTTAAAAAATAATTTTTTAATTTAATTTATTTTTATAAGGACTTTGCGCAATGAAGTTTATTGTTTTGTCGCGCAAAGTCACTTTGAGCAATGATGTATAGTCGTCGTGCAACGAATTGTTTTTCGTCGCGCAAAAGTTGGTTGCGCAAGGTTTTAAGCGACTAAGTTTTGAGTTTCGTCGCGCAAAGTGACTTTGAGCGATGAATAGTTTTTCATCGAGCAAAATTTGGTCGCGCAAGGGTTATTTTTTACTAGTGTAAGTGTGGTGAGGTTTTGAAGAAGCTCAAAGTATTTGAACTTACAAGTGGGAGTTATACAATAGCTTTGGATTTGAGGTAGGGGTTTTTCTTGGGGAAGTTTTGCATACATTGATTTAATTAAATATTGTAAATACTATATTATGCTTGGTCATATTATTTTATTATTATTGTAAATCCTATATTATGCTTGGTTATATTATTTGATTGTTATCCTTGATATTGGATGCATACGTGTTGTCAATTATCATTATAATTTGATTAATTTTGACATATTCATATGTTATCGGCAGTGGTTGGAATTTTTGGGTTAATAAAGAAATTATGGAAAAGAGGATAATGGGAAAAATCTTTTGTGTAGTTGAGTCTAACCATTGTAGGGACCAAGTTCAGGCGAGCCCGTGTGCACAGTAGATTAGGCAATCGGCAGTATAATTGTCGATTGAGTGATTTGGGCTTGGAGATCAATGGTGGAGACAAGATGACTAGGCAAAAGGGGAATTATGGGATGATTGAATGGGTGTTAGTTTATATAATGGAGCATTTGGAATTACAGTGGTAAAATGCATGGTATGGGACATGCTGATTTGCTTACCCTATTATATAGATTAACGGGTTGGGTAGAGATGAAGTTCATTCATGTATTGCATAAATTGTACATTATAAATCTCACTAATCACATAAGACATAGGACCCCTACTAAGCTTGTAATGCTCACCCCTTATTGAATCTATTGCAGGCTTTGAATCTGAAGATTAGTTTTTGCTGAGGAAACAAGAAGAACGAGTTGTGGATAGTTTTGGGTGTTTTGTTGAAAGTTTGTTACTTTCTTGTTATTTTGCTTGTAATAGTACAATGTAAATTACTTTGACTTAAATAAAAGTTTATGTTCAATTTTGATATTAAATTCATAGTTTTAATTTTTCTTTTACCTCACATTCCCAAAAAAAGAAAAAAAAAAAAAAGAAATTGGGATGTGACAAGTTCTGCTAAGATTTACATTCTCAGGTTAAGTATATCTCCTTGATTTCAACTAGGATTGCATTATCAGGTTGACCATTTGTCCTTGAGTCCTGCTAGGGGAATTTTCTGTTTATTTGCGTTATCAGGTTGAGTTTATCTTCCTAAGTCCTGTTAGGGGAATTGACAGATTATTTGCGTCCTCAAGTTGGCCACGTGTCCCTGAGTTATGCTAGGATGTGCCACACATGTGGAATGGACCATTCCACATGTGTAGTACTTGGAATTGATGGATTATATTTGGGATACACCTATGTGGAGGACAATGCAATACTGTGTGTTTATACAGTTAACAGGATATTCTTCGCCACCGTGCTCATATTATCTGCACAGGGTTGGCCAGAATCCCCAGTCACCTGCCCGAGTTGTCTACATAGGTGGTTGACTAGTTTCCCTCTTCCCCGGTTGCCTTTGGATTTAATGACATTTCTCATATACCCTTTGGTGGGTGATAGCAAGATATATACACTACGAGGATGGTTGCAGGTATGGCTTTCAGGTAAAAGGTTTGGTTATGTAAGTGTTTGGATGTTCAATGATAAATTGATTGAATAGTTAGGTACATAATTTTAGGGCATGATATTTGGTTATATAGCTGGATGAAAACAAATTAAAGAATGATTCTAGAATTTAATTGTTGGTTTTACCTTGAACAATATTAACTTATCTGAATTGTGATTTTTGGTACAAAGAACTACGTGTGGCTTGATCCCTCAGTAAGGGTATGTAGGTAACTTAGGCTAACCTAGGTGCAACCGCAAGTTTATGATTTGTTTGTTATGTTCAGTTAGGTCAAGATGTTTTTGCTAATTGGCATCTGGTTTATACCTTGTGCGTGCTGAAAGCTTGGGAAATAATTTTGTTTGATATGCAAGTAGATTTTTGGGTTTTGACCAATTTCAACAGAGGCTCTGTCGATTTTTCGGTAAAAGTGAAGCCCTAAAATTGTTTTGGAATTAGGGCAAAAAGGTATTTTAGTAGTTTGGGTTGACACATGCTTGGTGTCGGATAGGGAAAGGGTTCGTCACGGATTCCAAGGGGGAATTCGGGGTGGGTCCTTTCAACTATGGCTCCGAATACCCTTAAACATGAAATAGTGCACATCCGTCCCTTAATCCTATTTTTTATTTACGCATTTCTTAACTTTCACTTTTCATTAAAGGCCCTACTCTTATCACCTAACTATATTCATGCCCTACTCCCATCACTTGAATATATTCCACATTTTAACTCATATATATCTAAGGCCTTCTCCCACCCCTTAGATATACCTCGACCCAAACACAAATCCAAAACACAACCATATTTATGATGCATATGTAATGACACTCAAACACATTTATCTCTACGGAATAATAATAATATTTCAAGTATAATCACATGAATAATAATATTCACCCAACATCAAATAATATCCACGGAGCAACATCAATAATAATATTCACATGACACAAAATATTATTTCATCGAACGTCAAATAATATTCACCGAACAAAACAACAATAATATTACTATATATAAGCACCAAGATTAAAAGTGACATAGCCAATCATCAGGAAATTAAGAAATTCCCGACTTCATGTCCAGTTGGCTAAAGTACCAATTTACTCTTCGAAAGTTCTCCGAGGATTTGTCGAATCTACATTTTTTATCCAATTCCTGAACAAATTCAAATCCAAATTATTATTGAGTAGTCTTTGCTCTATTTCACCTAAGACTAGTAAACCTCAACTTAACACCTCAACCTTACGCATTTCAAAGATTCTGAGTGAAAATAACGAAAATGCCCTTGGGACCAACCCAGGGTCCAAAGCGGTCAAATCTCGTTCAAAATCATCTAAAACGGTGTCCTACGCTCTGTCGACACCGAAACAAGGATAACGACACCTGTTGTCCAAAAGTCACCATTTGGGTCACGTGGCCCCCATATCAACCGACATTTCAAACAAAATCCGCCTCGACGCATAACCTCAGATTGACTCAAGACATATACCATCGGATTTGGATCGAAAAATCAAGTCGAATGGACTGAAAATATGGCGTCAGAGGCTGTCGAAATAGTCGCCATGTGCCGCCACTCGCAGGAGATGCAAGTGGGCTTGGCTGCGGTTACTGTTCATCATTTTCTAAAAAATTATGTATTTTTTTTGTTCTAGAGTTTTGTACTTCATTTTGACTGACCAAATATCAGCAGAAATTAACCAAATTATAATGGTTGGAAAGCCTATTAATTCTAGTTTCTAATCCAATAAACCAAACTCAAAACAAAGCTATAAAGAAAGAGAAATCAAGCTCCAAAGTTGGGCTCATGGCTGGTTTTCTACAGATTCTGCAGAAAATATCCATAATCATTCTTCATCCAATAGCTCAATCCAAAATCACTTGATAAAATACCCATAATCATTCTTCAACATAATATTATTTTTCACTAAAATATGAAACTCCACCTTTATGTGTTTACGGCAGTGGGTTTCTGGAAAGCGAGGATGTGTTTGGGTTGAGAAGGCCAAAGCTCGTTTTTGAGTGATTTCCAGCGAAGGGTAAGCTTGCCTATGTCTTCCTTGGTCTCCCAGTTCCTGTGGCTAAAGCCTTTTTTATAGACGCAGGAGGAGCAGTCATTAGTCTAAAGCTTTAAATGGGGACAGTTGAAGTTGGACCAGTGATTGGAATATTGGCAGGTTGGTAGTTGGTTTTAAGTGGTGGAAGAAGACTGCAACTCAGCAAGTCTTTGACTTAGAGCATCTCCAAGGGAGATGTCAAATATCAAACATCAAATTTAAATTTAATGGCTGATGTGGCAATTTGACATCTTACACAGCTTTACACTCCACCCGATATGTCAAATTAAATTATTATTTTATTACATTTTAGTGTTGATTCATTTTAAATTAAAAAGAAAAGAAAAGAAAAAATAATAAAATATTCATTTGACATCTTGCTTTTGGGATGTCAAAAATAACATCTCAACCTCCAGCCTTCATTCCACATCAACTTTGACATATCGGTTGGAGTAATGTGAAATGTTATTTTTAGCTGTTAAATGTCTATGTGACACATTTGACATATCGGTTGGAGATGCTCTTAGTGATGGAAGATAGGAAATTGGAGGTTGGGTAATAAGTGCTGGAGTAAGACGACATCACAAGAAGTCTCCGTGGTTTAGTGCTGGAGGATAGGAAATTGGAAGTTGGGTAATAAATGCGGGAGGAAGTCGCGCGCTGTCTGCTTGCCTGCTCAATAGGTTCAATAGCAATATATTCTACATTTTACGATTTTTTTTACTGTTCATCAGTTTGATTAAAAAAAGCGAGCTTCACTAATATACCCAAAATGGGACCTGAATTTATAAAAAAACCCCACATAGAATACACTTTATAAACACACCCAAAATCCGTTTATTATATAACAAATTAGTGTTCAAGTTCCTATAAATTACAGGTCTGCCACTATCAAGCCCAACACCAAACAAACTCAAAAGACACCCAAAACAAACCCAGCCCAAACTTATAAACAAGCCCAAACCGTAACTTTCGTCCAAAAAAAAAAAAAGTAAACCGTAACTTCCAGCACGCGCGCTTTCATTAAACCTTCTCTGCAAAACGTCTCTTCACTTCACTCATCGTCTTCATCAAGTCAAATCGTCTTCATCAATTCGTCTTCATCGTCGTCGAAACCGAGACTCCATAACCACCACCAAGATTGATCTCGTTTCAAAAACAAACACCAGACACTGACCAAGACAAAATTTCAGAGAACCATTTCAACAAGAAAACGCTTCAAAGGTAAGACATTTACAAACCAAACCTTTACTGTAATATTGATTATTTGCTA